AAAGAGGAAACGGGCATTTCTTTGGGGGAAACAAAGTTGTGTTCACGTTATGACGGGGCACCTCCTCTCTCCTGGGGAGCACTGGGGGAGCAGGAGTGTGAGCAAACCCGGGCTCTCCTTCCTTAGTACTGATCAGAGGGGGTCCCTTCGTTTTGCCAACCACCCCTGGCCCTGCTCCCATAGCTGCACCACACACCGCCTCTGCGTAGCCAGATGCTGTCCACCCCGTGCTAAGGTTTGGAGAGGGGTGTGCTGCAGTCCCCTGTTGGTGGCAATACCATAATGTGGCCCCTTGACCTCCAGCCCCCCACGCAGACAACCCAAACACAAGACTGACCTAGAACAACCCTTCTGAAAGCCCTTTAATAGGATCGGACTGGAGGCCACCCACCTCCAGCTCCCAAGTCCTCCCCTTGCCCCATTTCATTGCACAGCTGCCACGCGCTGGCCATCCGCTGGCCTTGGGGCAGCTGGGCAGGCAGTAAGCTGTTTGCTTCAGATCGGGAGTGGAGATTAGAGAACCCTGAGGCTTTCCGTAGAGCTGGGTGGGGGTGGGCTGAGACTAACGCTCTAGGAGCTGGGCAGGAGTGGCGTTTGCTGCCTGGATTTCAGTGGCCTCAGAAGAGGAGTCTGGTGGGTTAAGGGGGGACGTCCCCATGGGGACAGGGACAGCAGCTCTTGGAGTCGAGATCCTCATGGTCGGTCAGGCTGAATTCTGGAGGTTCAAGTGCTCTAGTCAATGACTTGGGGGGCCCCTGGCTTGAGGTGATGGGATTCCAGTCTCTATGGAGGAGGACCCGGCAGGCGTCTCCCATGTTCAGTGCAACCAGTGAGGTAGGCAAAGGATTCCATCCTGATCCCCCCTCGGCCCCAAGACAGTTGAGGGTTCAGCGAGGAAGGGCTGGCCAGGGACACTGGGATAGACCCCGGACCTGCCCATCCCCTCAGCCCTGGCTCCGCCTGCGTAGGATGCAGACTCTGTCTTGCACAACAAGCAGGCAGACGGGACAGACGTTCAGCCCGTGTTCCTTGCATTTAGCTGGACATCCAATGGGCTCCGTTGGTGCCTTTCTCTGACTCTGAGCTGCCCCGTGGGCTTGTGGGAGCCCGGAATGTGGCTGTCCCTCTTGCTCTCCCCCAACCTCCCCTCTTCTGTCAGC